CCCAACCCTTTTTTATTTTATTATTATTTTTTATTTTGAGAGGTTTCTCCCTAAGCCACTCTGTTGCCAAGGTAGGCTCAGACTTGTGATTCTCCTGCCTGAGCCTCTCAGCGTACAGAGATTACAGGTGTGTTCCATCATATTTATTTATTTATTATTTATTGATCCTTGGAGTGGTGAAAAGACCAATGGAATAGTACAGTGGTGCTTCTGTTCATGAACGCTTTTGTGTGTGAACAATTAGGTTCACAAACAGAAGTATTTGGCAAAATTTTGTTTTTATTTGCAAACCCTGTATCAGGCGATGAACATAGCTGTGGCTGTTTCCTGCACGAATGCCACCACCTTTTCCAGAATCATGGCGTGAACCGAGGCACCACTGTATAGCTCTAGGCATGTTGTGATGTTGTGTTTGCAGTAGGTAATACATGTTGGTGTGTGAGGGACAATTCAACCATAACAGTAATAATTCACTCAGTGCTTTTCTTACCCAGGCCTTAATAGGTATTAGGCTCCATGGGTGTTAGTAACATATGTATTATTTTGCTGACTCCTCAGAATACTCTGTGATATGGATACCATTATTTCCAATTAATAGACCAGAAAACAGAGGCACAGAGAGATTAAGTAACTTTCCCAAGATTGCAAAGCAGATGCGTGGCAGAGCTGGCTTTTGAATTCTCACCCGCTCCTGTTCCAGAGCCCATGTGTGTAGTCACTGTGTAATTAGCTATGGAAGAAGATTGGAGTCTACACAGCCTAGGCACCAGACTCTGACAAGAAACAGTCCTGCTGATGAGAACAGGCACCCAAAGGGTGGTCAGGAAGGGCTGCTGAGGCCGAGAGCTGTGCTGGTGCGAGGCTTCTCTAACTCCACAGTGGGGCTCACCACCTGACACAGGATGGGCCCCAGAGGTAGAGGCTCTGGTCAGAGCACCCCATTTGAATCAGAGGCCTGGATATATTACTAGGTGGCACTGTCATTGTCATGGATCTCTGGCAATCTGCACCCACCAGTTTGTGACGTGTCAACTCGACAATGCTATGTGGTACCCAGTGGTTTGATCAAACATTATTCAGTGTGTGTCTGGATGGCATTAACAGTTACATTGCCAGACTGCCGTTCCTAATGTGGGTGGGCCTTGTCCAATCAGTTAAAGGACGGAATAGAACAAATAGATACAATCCTGACCCTAACTAAACCCTAACGCCTCCCAGGGAAGGGGGATTCTCCATCAGGCTATTCAAGGAGTTCATCTGCAGCAGAGGCTCTTTTGGGACCCTTGCCTGCTGCTCCCCACTGCAAATTAGGACTTGGTGGTCTCCACAATTGTGCGTCAATTCTTTATAATTGCTTTCTCACTACCTGTACACTAGTATGTGCTTAACTAGTCACTTTCTGAGAAATACATTGATATAATCTTATGGGACCATGGTTCTGTATGTGGTCTGACATTGGCTGAAATATTGTTATGTGGCGTAAGATTGTACACATGCACACACACACACACACACACACACAATTAGTTTTGTCTTTGACTAATAATACACTGCTGGACTGGAGGTATTTGCTGTGGTCCCTTAATGGCATCACAGGGAATAGTTCTGAGGGGAAGAATAGCTTCTGTTCTGCTGGGAGGGGCTCCTGATTCATAGGGGCCAAGCCTTTCTACTGGTGGCAGCATGAGAGATGTGGAGTGAACATTGTGAAAGACTTCTGGGAGATGATAAGTGCTCTGGCCCATCCACGGGGGAAGGGTGGGAGGAGTTTGGTTTTCTTGAGGATCTGCGCCTCAGGGCAGGAGGACAGAAAAATGGATGAGATGGCCTTTCCAGAGCTTTGCTGGGTCTGAGAAAGGTCCAGAAAGCAGCCACTGTGGTACCTAATAATGCACCCATCTGGGAAGGATTACACTTCCTTCCAGTGCTAAAGACTGAATATTCTGGCTCATTTGCAGCAGAGAAGCCGAGGGGATGCGGGGTGGCAGTCAGATGGGCTCACGGGTGGGCCTCTGGGCAGATCCTTCCAGTCTGCTGCTGTGGACAGTGAGACGGCCATTTTCACCTCAGGCAGCAGGGTGATGCTTAGGACAGGGACAGAGAAGGGATAGGACTTCTGTATTTCCTGAGTGAGAACTTCCAGGCCCAGGTGGCTGCTTTTCTTACAGTGAGAATGTTAATCTCACACCACCTCTCTGAGGTGGGTGTTGCTGTCACCATTTAAAAATACATCTTTGATCCCTGCTACCCGCCCCTCCAAATTACACCTTTGCTTATGTTATTATTGCAGATTTAATACTTGTTTCTTGTACAATGGCCAACAGACACATAGGTATAGAAAGTCAAGAGTGAACTCCTACCTCCCATTCCACCCTGTGCCGTGATGGTAACGCATGCTGAATGCATCCTTTCAAGATTTCTCCAATACATGTGGAATACATGTGTACAAGTAGGGCCTTAAAATTGTGGTAGACTGTGCATAAAATCTACCATTTTGTCCATCACCATCATCTGTCTCCAGAACTTTTCCATCTTGCTTAAGTGAAACTACCTATTGGATAAGCTTTAATAACTCCTCTTTTCTCCGCCTCCCCTCAGACCCGAGCAGCCACCGTTCGACTTCCTGTCTCTATGAATTGGATCCATCTTTTTATCTCCTATAAGTGGAATCAATAATATTTGTTCCTTTGTACGTGGCTTATTTAACTCGGCATAATGTCTTCAAAGCTCATACATACTGTCACATGTGTCAGAATTTCATTGCTTTTAAAGTCGGGATAACATCGAATTGCATGGGTTTGCTGCATTTTAAAAAATCCATTCATCCATCGATGGACATTTGGGTTGCTTCCACCTTCTTGCTACTGAAAATGACGCTGTCATGAGTTCGGGAACATAAATATCTCTTTGAGTCCCTGCCTCCTTCTGGGCTTGGCAGGCTGCAGTGGAATTGATGGAACATCTGGTAACTCATTGTAACTTTTTTGGAACCTGCCCACCATTTTTCATAGGTGGCAACAGACTATTTCTCAGCAATGCATGGGGGTTATGATTTCTCCAATGCTTGTTGCCTTCTGTTTTACTGCTGATATTTTGTATTTGAGAATAGCTATGTTAATAGATGTGATGTGGCTTCTCATTATGACAACGTAGGTTCTAAAAACTTTTTACTGTGTATGTTTTAGGTGTGCAAGATGATGTTGCAGGGTACACGTGTGCAGTGAAGGAGTCATGGTGGTGGAAAACAATAACGTAGTCATCATTCAGGGTATCTCATTTTTTCTCCTCCTGTGGCAAGAGCAGCTACAATGTATCTATTTAGCGAAACCCCTGAGTGCAAGGCACGATTATGTGTAGTCCTCAGGCTGCACCCAAGCTTTCTCCACTTCGTCATCCTTCCTCTCTGCTGTTTTGTTCCTTTGACCTGCACGTCCTCATTGCTTTTTCCTCCACCCTTGCCTGTTAACCACGGTTTTCATTTCTGTCTGTCTAATCGACTCTTATCTAAGATTACAGTTAAGAGAGGTCACACAGGGATTCTTTTTCTGTGTTTGGATTATTTCACTCAGCACACTGTCCTGTAGGTCCGTCCACACCCTGGCAAATGGCAGAATCTCTTCCTGTTTTAAGGCCAAATAGTATCCCATTGTGTGTGTGTGTGTGTGTGTGTGTGTGTGTGTTTGTGAGGGTGTGTGAGTGTGTGTATCACACTTTCTGTACCCATTTGTCCATGGATGGATGCAGATGTTGCTTTTATATCTCGCAAATTGTGAAAACACAGGGATTTAATTTCACAAATATGGTATATAATATAAATTGGTCATCGATTTTTTTCTTTTAGAAATTACTGATGCCGTGGCAGGAGGAGCTCAGCTTGGGAAATTTAAGAACTTATTGAGATTCTGTTTCCAAATAACAAATTAAAAGGTGTTGGGGATGTAGCACAGTGCAAAGGTCCTGGGTTCAATTCTCAGTACTGGAAAAACTAAAGCACAGTGCCTTCTTGTGACAGCCCTGACAGGTTGCCTCATTTATTATCGTGACTCTTACTTTCTGGGTGAATAAACTATGGTGTGGTGAGTCAAAGGACACAGGGGTCCCCTGTGGGGAGGGTTAGGAAGTCCCGACCCAGTTATTAGAGTTGCATGATATACAAGGAAAGGACTGATACTACTATTTGCTCTCAGCCTCAGTGTGTCAGGGACAGCGAGAGGGCAGAACAGGGAGCTTCTCTCTGCTCCACTAAACTTGAAGGCTGCTGCAGTTTCCACTGTTGCCCTAATAAATTACCATGAACCCAGCAGCTTGAAACCATGCAGGTCATATAACTCTTCAGGTCGCAAGTCCAGTGGGTTTGACTGCAGCTCTATTTAGAGCCCTACAAGGCTGAACTTGTGGGGAATCTTCCTTGCTCCTTCAGGTTGTTGACAGAAGTCAGTCCCTTGAGACTTTGGGACTGAGGTCTGGTTTCCCCGTTGGCAGTTCTCAACTCCTTGAGGTCGCCACTCTCCTTGGCTTGTAGGTCTGTTGCTCCATTTTCAAAGCCACAGTGGGTCCAGCCCTCCCTCTCTGCAGTCTCTCCTGCCTTTTCCAGCCACATTTCTCTATCACTGTCATTCCCGCCAAGTCTCTGTAGCAGCTGGGGACAGATCCTTGTTTCTAAGGGCTCTGCTACTGTCATCCAGGCCGCTCTTCCAGCTCACAGTGAGAACATCCCTTAGGCACAGCAGCAAGTCCTCCCTGCTCTGCTATGAAGCAGAGCACAGGATCGAGGCATTAGGGCGTGGAGGTCTTGGAGTGGGGCATTATTCTGCTGGGTTCTGGAATTGTTGGGAGCCCATGCCTACATGTGCCTGGTGGTTGGGGTTGGCTGAATCTTAGCCAGGCAGGCATATGGAGCACACTCCAGGGGTCTGTCCATGTGGCCAGAGCTCTGAGGGTGAGGACAGGGGAAGGAAGTGAGTGTCTGAAAGCTGTACCTTCTTTTTGCACTGCCTCAGAAACCACAGAGCATCTCTTCTCTCAGTGAGAATTCGGCACAGGTGTGAAGGACAGATGGTAAGTACCAAAGTTCTTCAAGAGGTTACCGGAAATAATTTTGAAAATACAATCTATCACATGCTTCTAGATGGTAGTGGTAGCACCAGCAATATTGGTAGAGGTCTTAGAATGTTCCAGGCTGTTCTAGACATTTTACCTGGCTCCCCAGGGCTTTGCACTGAACTAATCACCCTCACCCCATTTTTATGGGTCTTAATAAGTTGCTCTGGCCCAGGCCTGAACTTGCAATTCTTCCAACTTAGCCTCCCTGAGTGTGGGGCCACAAGTGGGTGCCCTCATCCCCTGAGTGCTTCATTTGGTGTTAGTCCTCCAACCTGGACCCTACAGAATCATCCATAATCATTCATACATGCGCACGAAGAAACGGAGCCACAGGAGGGCACTGGAGAGGGCTCAGTTCACAGCCAGGATCGGGGAGCAAGAGCTCTGAGAAGTGATGGGACTGTGGCTGGGGGAGGGCAGAGGGTGGAGGGGC